GGGGGGGGTGATACAGGAACAAAATATACGCCTACCGGTAGTTGCCAAAAGCCTAGATGGTTCTCCTGCACAGGCAGCACGGTGCTGCAACTGGTAGAGCTGCTGCCTCTCAGCGAGCAGGTCCCTGGTTCAAATCCCGGTCCAGGTGGAGTTTGCATGTTCTCTCGGTGCATGCGTGGGTTTTCTCCGGCTACTCCGATTTCCTCCCACAGACCAAAAACATGCATGTTAGGCTGATTGGTAACTCTAAATTGTCCCTAGGTGTGAGTGTCTTGTTTGTCTCAGTGGCCCTGTGATGGACTCATGACCTGTCCAGGGTGTACCCCGCCCCTTGCACGGTTGCTGGACATGGGCACCGGCGACCCTCGTGACCCAAAATGGAAGAAGCGGGTAAAAGATAATGGATGGATGGTTCTCTCGCACCTCTAGCAGCTGCAAATGGTAATGCTTACTCTGAGTCATGTTAATATGAATGAACATTTAAAGCATCAGTCAAAAATTGCATTATGAATATGAAAAAAAAAAAACATATACAAGCTGCTTCGGCGTATAAGTCGCAGGACTGGCAAATCTATGGGGAAAAAAAAACAAAACACCTGCGACTTATACACCAGAAAATACGGTAATTTTAGTGTATTTAAACTTTTGACTTTCAAGAAAGTAATAAAACTGCCTTAAAAATGTCTCATTCTGACATTTTGCAAATAGAAAAAAAATGTTGGTAATCCTAACTGACCTAAAACGAGAAAAGTTTATTCTGATTTCACGTCAGTGTGAAAAAAACGTGTCTTTTTAAATAGTGTATGTAAACTTCTGGTTTCAATTGTAGTTTGAGATCATGGCACACATTTAATCCCAGTTTGTTTACTTCCTTGAGACATATATAACCTCATCATATCCATAATCTGATTAGACAAAAAGGGATCCAGCATTTATTAGACGTCTCAATCAAGCTGTCCTGGCTGTAGGGATAAAACTTTATTTTATTGACAAAAAAAAAAATGCAAATG